TTGAACGTTGTCGCAGTCGAATTGATGTCCGTGGTTGTCTGTATGCAGTGAAGCGATATGAGGGAGTGGATATCATGTCTTTTGACGGGTAGCTTATGTTTTTGGATACGAAGACGAAGGGACGTCCGGTTTGGCCAATGTAGTGTTTTTCGCAGTTGTTACAATTTATTTTGTAGATGATGTTGGTTTTGTCTTCTTTTGCTGTTGAGTCTTTTGGTTGACATAGAATTGAATGAAGTGACTTTGTTGGTTTGAAGAGTCTTGTAGTGATTTCTGAGATATACTTTATATATGGTAAGGTGATTTTCTTTGTGCTTTCCTTGGGGGCTTTTGGTTTGATAGGTTAGCTTGGGAGTATATATCTTTTGATGAAATTTTGTGGATATCCATTCTTTCGGAAGACGTCCATGAGATATTTTTCTTCAATTTTCCTTAATGTGGAAGTGCTGCAATGAGTCTTTGACCTCTTGAATAGTGTTTGTATGCAATTCCTTTTGTGTGTTATTGGATTGTTGCTGTTGTAATTCAGGATCTGGTCTGTGTAGATTGATTTTCTATAAACTTGAGTTTCTAATTCCCCTGTGGTTGTTCGCTTGACTAAGACGTCCAAAAAAGTGGTATTTTGTTCTCGGATTCCTCTTCCCTTGTGAATTTGATGTCGTTGAAGACGTTGTTTATTAAGTTGTGAGTTTTATCTAACTCGTTTCTCAATGAACAAAATATTCTCATATTGAGTCATAAGAAAAGGCACAAACAGCGAAGAAAATTTTCTTTTCGACGATTCATTTTCATGAGCTGTACAATCGTAATTATAATTAAACACATAAGTTTTTTTGACCATTCAGATACTGGTAAACTTTGTCCTTGAAAATTCTACTACATAATGTGAGGTGTAAGAAGGGATGACTAATTGTAAGTTAGAAAGGAGACAGAAGTTGGCATGACCTAATAAGTGTGAGATAATGACTAATCAATAAGCTCGTGTAGAATGGACAGGAACTAGCGGAAAGGCTATAAAGTAGCTTTGTATAAGATCTGTGTGGAAAGCTATGTTATTAATAAACAGCAATAGAGTGGTAATAAAATGTGGATGGTGGGAATAGTAATAATAATAAAATTATTAAGAACAGTACTACTACTACTAATAATAACAATAAATAATAGTGAACTTACATATTAAAAGAGAGGAGAAAAATTGTAGTAAGAAATTTACTCTGGCCATGGTAGGGCTAGAGAATGTATGTATCGTTTTTGTATGCATAGGTCCGGTTTTAGGTCACGAATAGCTAATGCCTCAGCTATGTACAGATATCGTATCCGGAGTCCTTTTGTACGATATTGAGGGACTCTGTGTACCACTGTGAAGCATTCGTGTGGGGGTGCTCAATGTCCGGAGATAACAAGGTGTTCGAGGATTGAGCTGTTGCTATTCTTCTTTTCTCCTCTGGCTAACCAAGCTGGGCAGTGTTCCAAGATACGTTTGTGGACTTGACGTTGCGTACGGCCGATATACTTTGCTCCACACGAGCAAGTGAACTGATAAATACACATTGAAGTGGCCAAAGGCGGTATCTTGTTTCTCGTTTCTTTTGATTATTTCAAAATGAAGTATGCGCTGAAGATGTCGCATAGTAGGGTGATGAAAGCTTCACAAATTGACTATCCAGCTCAGAGAAGACAACCACATCTAAATGAGTAATACTACTACTAATAATAATCGACTCTCAGTTTATCTTCAAAGTAATCGAATCTGCAGAAATCCTTAGCAGCCAAAAAGATTTCAAAACTAGGTTGGAATAGCTATCCAATACTCCTTGGTCTTCGCTAGTTCTCTAATTGACATTAATCTGTGATCACAACGAAAGCAAATCAAATTCGTACGAACTAACTCTGGAGAATCGATCTACTTCTTAATGATGACTGACTACACTATGAAGTTGACTGAGTTTTTGGTGAGAAGTCATGATCACTGTGGGTTCCAACAGGTTGCGTGTGGGGATAAATTCTCGCTGGTGGGCTATGTATACCATCCTGACAAGAGTTAGAATTCATCGATCGGCCATTGGGTACCGCCCCAATGGCTGGATGGTCAACATGCTCGCCTGGTTACCTGAATGTCGTGTGTGAAGATTCACAAACTAGGACGAAACAACCATCGGGTACTTTATGCTGGTTTTTAATAGTTCTCTAACTGATATCAATCTGCGATCGAATGTGGGACGAGTCAAATACGTACAAACTAACTCTTGATAATGATAATAATAATTATTATTATAAACTAATCTAACTTCTCTAATGTATTTCTACCGTTGTTTTTTGTATACATATAATTCAATTTTATCAGAATGACATTTATTGTTTTCTAAGGCATATATATGTGCACACACACACGCGTGTGCAGTGTATGTCTCTTTCTTCCTCTTTCTTAAGTGGATAAAGAACATCTTTTCTAACTGAAAAAAGCAAATAATAATATAAACAATATTAATGAGATTTCTGTGTGTTAACAATGTTCAACTCTATAATGAAGAGGTTGCCTGCTTACAGGTTAACTATCATTCTTTTTGTCTTATCATAGACACTATTTATATTATATATATATATATATATATATATACTATACATATGTACATTGTTCTGCATTCTTTTTAGCTATATATGTTAGATGAGACAAACAGTAATGTGTAATGTGCATTTTTCTCTTAAAAGTAGTGTAGTATCTATCATGCATACGTTTTAGACTATGCATTTGTGTTTATGCATTGTAGTAATTTGATTCTCCCTATCAGTCTCATTAGTTGTGCTGGAAGTAGTAATAGTAGTGTAGTGTCATCCAAAAATCTGATTTAAGTATCCCCTCTGTGTGTGTGTGTGTGTGTATCTATGCGCGTATGTTTCGTGATTGTCCTATTTTTCTCTCTCCCTCTGATGAATCATACTTCCATATGGATTTATGACTTTTTCACATATCTGCATACCAAACTTGGTATGAAAATAAAATCTGAATTATTGAATCAAAAAATATATTGAGAATAATTGTTTTTTTTATGTATGACTGTTATTTTTGAATTTTCTTACGCACTACTCATGGTTCCACTCAGAAACTTTATGCCTTTCTTTTTAACTACTTTAGTAGTATAACACACAAGTCAAAATTTTCGAATGCCAAAAATTATAGACCAGTAGGGATGTAAACAAACCTTCACTTAAGTTGAAAGCACATCATTTCTACAACAACTGACTGAGTTTCAACGTGAAACTGTAAACAGGAGTGCGTAGTACATAAGTGGAGGGAAAAAGGTCCAGAAGAACTATATTGGGCTGAAGTGTATGGGAGAAAGTATTACTTATTTTACTACATCATTGTTCCCTTGGATTCCAAGTGTATCATAGGACTTCAACAAGACATCTACACATTGTCGTATTTTCTGCAGCCCTCTTTAGTAGGCCACACAGTTGACTATAGTCACTGATCTCTTCCGTGTCACTCGAACAATCCAATTGTCATTTCTAATTCGGATTCCACTCCAGGAATGGCCTGTCGCGCGATTTCATTCGATGATCCCTTTAGTGTGTGTCTGATGCACCTCCACTTCCATCTGTGATATTTGCAGATCAATAGGTTCCTAATTGATTCGTTTCCAGACGTTCTTGTTGCTGATTTTTTTCTGACCAGCAATCTGATCTTCATTATGAAGGCAGATTTTGATAAATTCTGTAGCGGTCTATTGGAAATGTTTCACGTGCCGCGCCAAGTTTCAGACCAATTCAGAAGAACTGACCAACTTAACATTTATGCTGGAAATTCGGATTTTGTTCTTTACGCTGAGTGTAGCAGATTCCTCGAGTGATTCTAGAGTGATGAAGGTTTGCTTTGCCTTTCCAATCACGGTTTTGACATCATCAATAATGTCGCCTGTAAGTGAAACGATGCTCCCTCAATAAGCAAAGGAAGTGACGTCTTAAAAACTTCTGCCGTTGAGAATGATTGATGTTTGTGGTTTTTGTTTGGTTATTTCCGCCAATCCCCTCCTCTCTATGTTCACTTGAAGTCACATCTCTGTTACTTTTTCTGTCAACTTCTTGATTTTCACCTGTAAGTCTTCCGCTTTGTGTGACATTGGACATGAATCATCATCGAAGTCCAGATCGTCTACAGTCTTCTTGTCAGTCTATCATATTCCCATATCGTCACTCTCAACTCACAGTCTGATGCATAATGCAGTCCACCACAGTTAAGAATATTATTGGTGATAATAGGAGGCGTTTTCTTACTCGTATTTTCATTTCTAAAGCTTCACTGGGTTTTCCGTTGTGCGCCGCCTGACACCTGACATTGTCATATAACCAGTTGTTGAATGAGGTTGATAAAAACTTGGGCATTCCACTCCAAAGTATTGAAGTAGTTTTCAAATTACTTTGCCGTCAACTCTGTAGAAGGCCTTTTGAAAGTCGTGGGAAAGAGTGGTAAAGTGGGAAAACATGCATTTGCATCATTCGAAACGATTTTGAGCCATATCATCATCAGTCTGCAGCTACTGGTTCTTGGAATCTAACCAACACCAGCCAACGGGTCTACACTTCTCTAGGTGGCTGGCTGTTGTTAATAGTCAAAGACTTCATATATTGATGCCAGGCTTGCTTTAATCACTCCTAACCCTGTGTCAGCTAGCATTGGTTGTCGAGGTGGGCAGTGTCTTGGCACATGCAATACGCATCCCAGCTATCTTAATCTATGTAGCCTCACAGCCTTATTAATTGCCTTGTACTTTTTTATCTAATGTTGTGCGCCTAATCTAAACATTACTCAATGTGTGATACAACTTCGTACGGGAGATACAACACAGATATCTGCAACCAAAAGTGCCTATAATATCATTAGTATTTAAACATTATACAGTTAATTGTTCTGAAGTAATTGTTTCGCTCTTTGGAAATTGATTATCCCTCTCCGTTTTATAGATTTTTTTAAAAAAAGTTTCTCTTCATTTTCACTTTAGATTTCCTGGCAAGTGCTGAATTACGACTTCCAACAAAGTAAGTTGATAAATCAATAAATGTTGCATACTTAATGACAGTTTTAAATATTCTAGTGACTAGTGTTCTATGGGCTAGAATTTGTTTGGTCAAGTTTCTTAATTCTTATCCAGTTCTAATTTTCTTTTTTCCTCTTTTTGCGTTCCACTCACAACATAAGACCTCAAGCTTTTCAAGATTTTGAATAGCGGTGGTGTCGTTTTTTTTATAGGGTGGGGTTGCTAAGCTCACAGTCAAATTTCCCTATTTTCTAGGATTGCTACCAATTAAGTGTGGCGTAGAAGGCTGTCGGCAAGGAATTGAATCCCTGACCTCTTTCTCAGCTGCACGCCATTCTACCATTAATCCACCATATCTGTAAACTATTTATGCACAAAGTTTAATATCCGAAACAACATTAATGCTGTTTAAATAACATCGAATCAATAATATCAATAGATTACCGTTCAGTAGCATCCACATAAAAATAAACTGAATGTCAGAAAAACTAGGAAAGATACTATTACAAATTCATGAGTTTATAGTTTCTACTGAGCAATAATAGGGGCTGTACTTCGTTCTTTTGAACACAGAACGCTGGTTGTTTGAAGCGAATCGCAATGGCCTCTGCTGTTTGGAACATGTGGTGCTTCGATGATTTTGGCACCCGGTAGATTACAGAGAAGGATTCTTCAACTGTGGCTTTGTGGCCGGGCGGTTTGCACCAGATAGTCCAGTGTTGAACTCTTGATGGTTTTAACTTCACCTTTACTTAGCCATAGTGGGAGATGTTCTCGAGTGAGCACGAAAAATCAAGTTCCTAAAGCAACGGCCAATATAACTCGCCCCACAAGCCCAGTTGAATTTATCGAAAAGAGTACTCTTTGTTCAGTATCCATTCTTTTGGAAAATTTTAATAGGAATTTTTAATCAGTTAAGTCATCTTTGTGAAAGAAAAAAAAACTGTTCAACTAACCACATATTTTTTTCTTAAATTTCAGTATAAACTCTACTTCTGATCCCGACTTAGAAGCTATGCACAATATACAAGCTATGCTTGAACAAATCAGTGAACGTCTTATTGTATCCAATAAGTAGTAGTAGTGGTAGTAGTAGTATTATTAGTAGTAGTATATGAAGTCAGCTTTTTGTTTTCTTCAATTGTTATCATCTTTTTTCGAATGTTCCTTTATCTTTTCTCTTTTCGTCAGTGTTTTTTTTTAAAAGTTTTCACTGTGCATACGCCAGATACAATCAAGCATACAAACTCCCTCCTCTTCCATACACACGTACATGCATACATACACACATACATACACTTAGGGATAAACACATTTGTTACATCATATGTTTGTGCCTTATGGAATGTGTCAAGAAGATTTCAAACAGAGGAGTGAGAAGAGGGGAGTGTAGCTTTATTCGCATTGGTCTTGGTGGGGAGGGGCGGGGAGGGACTACTCTATTCAGTAATGTAAATCAGTTAGTGTGTGTATGTGTACTGAAACATAACATGTAATAGCCAACAGTGAACATTGATGCCTATGTATAAATTGAATTTAGAGAGATGATTCACACCCATACATACATACATACATACATACATACATACACACATGTACCTCAGCCTACTTTCTTAATAAAATGGAATTTAACTAACCCCTCTCCTCTATGCTTCTCTTCCTCTTGTTGTTTATTAATATGACTATTACGTAATCATGTTCTCGGACGTTGACCAACTCCCCATGGACACACACACACATACACATTGACAGAAACACATGCAATTAGTTTACTGTTCATAACTTAACTCAAGATGTTATACGTTGGCGATTTCATCAAATCACAACCCGACATATGTATGTATGAGTATGCATAGACAGAAAAGCTGTTCCTATTAAATGAACTCACTTTCTGATTAGCATTGGTTTGATTATTGATGGACTATTAGTATTATTCAAAAATTTAGGATCCAATCAACCTTTTTATTTAGTTGATAAAGGAAATATATGTATTAATATATATATTTCATACTGTTGTTCCAGAGTACTATTTCCCCTTTCTTCTAATTTATGTCTATTTATTTAGGACTTGATTATGAATAAATTTTCCAGATATGATGTATGCTTTATTATTATTACTATTATAATGTAAATAAATTTCTCCTAAACTCAGCATTTTTCTATACAATTAAACAGACTAACCTTAACTCTGAGGGTATATCTACTAATATAGGAAGAGGTGTGGATGAGGTTAACAGCTTGTTGTAAGGTATTTTCGCGCATAGCATAGCAAACGCTACAAGAGATATTCAAGCCGTATAAATAAAGTCTATGTAAAGCGTGCCTTTAAAATAGTCAAACATAACATTTCATCTGATTACAGCATTCTTCTAGGCACGTAATACAAAATCAACCAGCTGAGGGAATTCATGCGTGTTAGCGTAATGTGCACTTCTAATATACAAACACAATTTTGACCAGCTTGTCATCCGCTTCTTAGTGTTTCTGAACAGTTTTAGATCTTGATAGATTTCAGTTCAATCCAACGCCTCTACTGCTGGCGCCGTTCTTCTAGACAGAATAAGAGGATGCATATTAGTTCAGTTTGGAGGTAATTTATGGCATGCTACATGAATCTACTTCCACAAGCACAAGTTGTTGGAGGAAACCCAGTGTTCTACATGATGATTAATCCTTAGAAATTCTATTTACAAGTACCGAAGATCCCTATCGACGGTGTTATTTATGCGTTATTACTCAGCTGTTAAAGGTGAATGAACAGTGACTGTTGTACAAATCGGAAATTCCAATATATTTCAACCAAGTAGTCACAACGTAGATGTGGGGAAGGTGAATAGGAGACATAATTTAGATGGAATAACAATGGTAATCCACATAGACAAGACCGTATTGGTTAAAAATAAATACATTCGTGAACATCCGAGACCTCAAATAATGCATGGGATTTAGGATTATACGATACTGCATTGGTAAAAAGTTTCTTTGAAAGCATCTTATTCGGAAGTTGGAAAATACTGATACATATAATTTGGAGATCGGTAATACCATGAATTGCAATTCATACAGATGAATGGACAAAATACAATGGTTTCTCATAGTTTGCTTATATCTGTAGCGTATGTAGGGGACTATTAGGAGAGCTCATTAACACTACAAATATGCAAATAAAAATCCAAGTAAATGAGATGATAGGGTAAATATATATTATCAAAGAATACAGTAAAGCATTACATTAATGAAAAGGTTACTTGGTTATAACGTTGAAATCTGCGGCTACAAATTATCAATATAATCCAAGGGAGCGTTCACTGTTGGAAGTGCGTCTGCTGGTAGATGCTGTGGACCGGTTGTAGAGTTGTCTTCGGATAAAGATAATATACTCCTGCAATAAATCCAAAGTATACAACACGGTATGAGTGGAGCAAGTAAGCAGAAATGGCCAGAGAGAAGGCGAATTTTCCAACAGTATAGTGTATTTCATATTGTACACAAAAGTTATATGTATTTTAACAAGAATCGTTTTAAACAAAAATCATATACAATGTCACTAATTTCTACAACTAACAAAAGGTGTACAATCATATTTTTACGTACTCCACACGTGTATGCTCGTGAAAAGGCTTAGTACTGCAATATATATTTATGGTTCGAAAAAATATTGAATAGCAGAGGAACAGATTCAATGGTGAAGAAAAGAAATGAACGAGCCCTCTGAAACAACACGGAAAACATGAAGGGGAGACAAAAGAAGCCCACTAAGCGGGACATGCGCAAATGTTGATTTTAACATAAGGTAGAAGTGTGTGTTGACATATCCGTATTTAGAAAAGAAAAGGTGTTCAGCAAAGAGTTACTCTTTTCGGCGATATCATTCTCAAGCTGTACAAATCGTAAATTTATAGTAATTTGTCTTGGCAACAAAAGGAATATTTCCAAAGATGTGTTAATGCAATTGTTAGTTTTTGACAAGCAAATTACGTAATTTTGAAGGCGTTAATCGGTTAGAAACTAAAATAAAGTTACAAAAGTAGGTTGGGTGACGTAATCTAATTGATAGGGTTCAATGAAAAAATGAATGATAGTCAAGTTAATAAGCTGAGTAGAATTCACTTCAAAATAAACGAAAATCGAGTTAGCAACAGTCGTCATGAGCGTAGAGATTTAATAGAGGGTGGGGGTAGAAAATAATACAATTAAGAAATAGACAAACAAAGAAGAAAGAGGTTAGACAAAATTACGTATTTGGTGTTAAGATAGATCAGGACCATTGTAGATTTAGTGACTGAACAAACTTCTTTTGTATGTAGAGTTCAGAATTCAATATGTGAATTGTCATTGCTTCTGCAGTTTGAAGAAGTTTAATTCGTACTCTTTTGTCAAGATTCCCACGTATTGTGTAGATAACTGAGAAGTTGTTTTGTGGTTTTGCTTGGTGTCCGGATTCGATCAAGTGTTTTAGGATAGAGCTGTGGCGGGGGGATCTTCTTTCTCCTTTATAAAACCATGAAGGTAAGTGTTCGCTGATTCGTTTGGATAGCAAACGCTGGGTACGGCTGACATACCTAGCTCCACATGAGCAGGTGAATTGGTAGATGCACATTGATGAGGCCCCCAGTAGAAGCTTATCCTTCACGTTCGTGCGAATCATTGGTTTCGTATTTAAAGCTCCTAATAAACTGTTTCGAGACTAGATACTGTCGTGTGCTCCTGCTACATTTTAATTATTATGTAAAAAAAATCCACCAGATTTCATTGATCTTATCACAATTACACCTACAAACTTAATGGGTAGTCGTTCGCGTCCTTCGACGAACAGATCCTGTACAATGTTATTAAGAATTTATGGGACATTGTTCAGTATACTTTGGCAGTTAGTTGGTTCCGGCTTATTTTCTCGGTTTTTAGCTTGTATCATTATCCTCTGCTTTCACAGTAAGGCTTTTGCATAAGTTTGAAGGTTGTCGACCCAAAGGGAATGATCTACCGAATCATTTTTAACACCGGTCAGATCCTCTGTATTTTGACAGCGGTTACATTCACTACTTATTGGCTTTTATATCTAGTAATGTACTGTTATGTGCCGTTTTCATACTTTATACCACATCTCACATTATAATATCAATTAAGTTATTTATTGTTCACCTACAACTCTTTACGCATTGTCTGTTTGAATTAACACTCTTGAAAACCAACCACCATTTTGTTCAGCCATCGTCTGCTTCGTGATTTGGAGCCGGATAACAGCAGAATTGGAGGTGTAGCGGTAAATAATTCCCCAAAATTATTGACCATAGGAATAGATTATGTCTAAGAGAAGAATTACATCGTGACCATAAGAATCATCAGTGAACATTGGATGCTAACCCTCAGAGTTTAAGTGGACTTGTTTAGCTGAAGGCTCCCCGTCAAGCATCCCCGCCTTTTGGTACTCCGTCGTGTCACTTTCGTGCACGATAACTGGCTAGCTTAGCTTCCTTTTCAATCCGCGATTTGGTCACGAAATATATCTCGTAGTTTGGACAATCAATTGTGGCGTTTTGCTTTGCCTTTGGTACACGAGAATCAAATAAGATAGAAGTTGTTGGTATAAGATATTGCGTTAATATACTCCGTGTTGTCCACGAACGTCTATACCGTCAGCCTTTAAAAAGGTTTGTAGTGTAATTGCTTGATTTGTCTTTCGAAGAATAATTTACAAAATTCCCCAACATTTCGGTTCCAATATAACATTCTTTGGAACAATTTTGTCTCTTGGTTTGGTTATTGCATTAAATTCTGCAAGTTTGACTCTTCACAGCAAGCTTTTTAGGTATCTGTCCGTAGCATAAAGTTCTTCAACCGGTTCTTGACCGACGCACTGTTTTCTTTGGAATACTTTAAGCCCTCGGACTATTCTCTTGCATTTTAGTGAATTGGAACCTGAGAATCCCTTGAAACGACAAACAAGTGGAACTTGAAAAAGTATATGTTTGAAGGATAATTTGTCCGGTAGTAGTAATAATGAAATGAGTGATAATAACACATCTGGGTAGGAACTAACAAATAAAAATAGAGAGGGAATTAAGACTACTTATTTCA